CTCCCCGTTCCCCAAATCCCGCCCCATTCCCCCCAGTGTCCCCCCTTGCCCCGTGACGCGGCGCTGTCCCCGCAGATGCTGGCCACGGTGGCGGTGCTGCGGGCGGGCAAGGCGCTGCGCGTCGTCAAGTTCCCCGACTGCGACCGGCACATCCCGCGGCGGGTAAGGACCCCCGCGCGTCCCCGGGGACGCGGGTTTCCACCGTGGGGTGGGAATCTCCGTCTATGAACCCCGCGCGGGACTGTTGCCCTGCGGGGAGCTCTGCGGCTGCCTGTTGAGTGTTGTCCCTCTTGCAACTTTCCAGATGTTTCCTCTACCTCTGCTGTACTTCGGGAACCAGATCACGGGACTGTTCAGCACAAAGAAACTGAAGTATGGACTGCCTGTACCTACGGGAAGGGTCGTGATGCCGTGATGGGCGTCCCCTGCCTGTGGCTGCCCCGAGGAGCCCCGTGCGCTTCCAAATCCCCATCCTGGGAGCAAAGAGTCCTGAAACGCGGGAGCTTTTGTGTACGGGGTGTTCGGGATGGGAAGGGAGGCGTAAAACGGCTGTTCGGGGAGCCCTGGCCGCGGTCCTCGCCCCGTGCTCGTGCCCGCCGCGGTACCGCAAGGCAGACGCAGCGAGAGGCGGCCGTGCGCGTGGTCCCCAACGGCTGCCCGGGGAGCAGGGAGCCCGTGGGGGTGGCGATCCCTCCCGACCGAGGGCTAGGGGTGACCGGCCCTGGCATCGGCAGGGAAGCCCTCTCAGCTTGCTAAATCTTCTTCTCTTTCTCTATTTTTTAGCCTGCCAATGTTTACAGTCCTGCGAAGGTTCTCCATCCCGTTTACAATGTTTGCTGAAGGATTTTTGCTCAAGTGAGTCTTTCCAACTGTTTTTCCAAGGTTATCAATGACAGATAGTGTCTGCAGTTATCAAAGTCTTGAGATGATGAAACGACATGCTGTATTTTACTAAGTTTTCCTGCGTCAAAGACTCGTGTGGTCAGGCGTTTTTGGCTCTGTGCTGAGTTTTAGAAATACGAGTGGATAAGGAAATGGATAAGCAGTAATGTGTTAGTTACTACGATGACTTACCTTGATCTGCCCTGTGCTTTTTTTCTGCGAATGCTGCTTGCTAAAGCTCACAGCAGGACAGGTCCTAAGACAGTTTATTCTGTTGCCTTATGCAACCCCAGGACCTGCAGCGCTTCCTGGGGCGTCTGGCTCCATCTGTCCCCAAGCCGCTGCCGCGGTGCTCGGGATTTCCTGCCTCATCCCAGCAGCAAGCGGCTGCACGTGCAGCCGTGTAGTAATGAGCAGAGGTTATCCCTGAGACTTGAGACTTGTCAGTGCAAACTTTCCTTTAAAAAAAAAAAAAAGCCACAGGAGTAGTTGTGTAAAGACTCGTTTTTTCCTTGCTGTTTGTGTTGAGTTTTGCCTGCTGCCCAGCCAGTGAATGAGGCGACTGACTGCGTTCCTGCCCGCCTGGGCGCTCTGGCGAAGCCCCGGCCGTGTCTGTGAATGACAGCAGTGTTCTTGCTTTCCTGCCCGCAGGAAGAAGTTTTCCTGGAGCATTCAGATGACAGTATTCGCAATGATCATTGGCGCGTTCGTAGCTGCGAGGTGAGTCCTCAGGTTTTCGCTCCTTCAGCTGTGACCTGCGCTCTGTTCGGTGCCTCGTGTGCTGGCCGGCCCGCAGGGCTGCCGCAACCTCGGCAAAACGCGGTGCTCGAGGCCTTTGCAGGTGACATCGTGGCACGTGTCCTGGTGAAGGTGCTGTTGAGAAGGGAGCTGGAGCTCGCTCAGAAACGCCCCGGGAGCCCTGGGGGGAAGTTGCTAGAGCAAAACTTTTTTTTAAGTGGGTTAAGGTGAAAAGAGTATCACACGCTAAGTCCCAAGAAGAGTGTGAGTAAGAGGTGACTTTTTTTGCTTCAGACATATGCTATAATAGGAAAGAATGTTTTCCAGACTCGGATCCCAGTCCTTGCAGGATTAACTCTTTCTGGCAACTTACTGAGGAAAGGTGGAAGAAATCTTTTGCATGCTACATACTGTGCTGTTAAGAGACTTATTTTTTTTCCTTTCCTAGTTCTGACTTGGCATTTGATTTGGAAGGATATATTTTTATCCTCGTTAACGACGCCTTAACAGCTGCAAACGGTGCCTATGTAAAGCAGAAGCTGGACTCCAAGGTAGGCTGACCTTTGCTTTCGTTTATGGCGTGTCGGGAGGGCGCTCCTCCACGTTGGCTGCGCTCGTGGCGCGGCCGCGCTCGGCCTTGTTGGGCTGAGCTGCCGTCCTCACAGTGCGCTGCGTCCCCAGGCGCCTCCATTCCGAGGCCAAATGCATCATTCTTTCCCACCTTAACTAAAAGTGTGCTCTCACGGGTGCTTTTTTTACACTAGAAGTTATCATTTGGTGTCATGGTGAATACTGAGGCTGTGACCTTTGTAATCTATTTTTAATTCATGTGCTCAGGGCACCGCTGCAGTAGGAAATGGAGAAGAAGTCGTATTCCAAATTAAATGTGCTGCTGTGTCTCCTATTCTGGGTGCATTGCCTAGCACTGGGGTGTCATTCTAAGTATACCCAGTGCTGGGAAATGGCACTGCTGCACTTGCTGCGGTCCCGACCTGCTGTCGCCCCCGTCCCTCTCCATCTCTTGCCCAAAACATTTGGCGACGTTGCTGTTTGGGTGTCCTTATTGCCACAGCGCTGGCCGCGGGCCTGGCAAGCCCCGGGGAGCAGTTGCCCTTGCTGGCAGCCAAGGGGCCGTGTCCTGGTTAGCGGTAACGCTCCAGGCTTGCTGACCCGGGCTGAACTCCGCGCTTATCTCACAGACAAACTATGCGGGGAAATCCACGCGCTGCCGTAGGGGTCGTTTTCCTGTCTGCCTCCTGGGAAAGCCGCGTTTTGGCATCCGGGTTCCTTTCCCAAGGCTGTGGGGATGTTGGCTACGGACATGGGAAGCTCCCGAGCCGCCCGCTGCGATGCCGGGAATCCTGCCTGGCTCGGGGCTGGTTGCAATTCCTACACCCAGGTTATTTGGATCACTTCTGTGTCCAGTGATGTGTTTGATAGGAAATATTTGCTAGAAACCCCAGTATTGGCAGATACTCTTTATTTCTTGTTTCTGAGTTTCTGACCAAAATGTCATCGTGGTCCTGTGAAGTTTTACTGTGTGTCTTTGCTTCTAGGAGAAGGTAAGCAGGGACTTGTTAGCAATGCAGTTTCCAAAAGGCCTCTAGAGCAGAACTTGGTCTAATGTTTTAAAGCAGCGTGGAAATGGTCTCGCGCGTTGTAAAAACCCCAAAGCTCTCCTGAGTCTCTGCAAACCCCCTGTGTGTTTAGCTCGTAAGACCTGGTCTTCAGTAGCCCTATGCATAAGGGTCTGCGTTCTGTTTGGAGCCAGCGTAAATAACAGAGATGTTTCTCCTTTCTAGGAGCTGGGAAGATACGGTCTGCTGTACTACAATGCACTGTTTATGATACTTCCCACCTTGATCATTGCCTATTTCACCGGAGATGCGCAGAAGGTAGGAATCTGATCCCAAAAAGCAAACTCTTCAGTGGCACAATACCTTTGGGGCTGAATGTATGATCCTGTATCGCTTAAAACAGACAGCAAGATGTTTCTGTAGCATACAGCCACACATACCCTCTGTAACTTGTGTTTTGAATATTTGCCATTTTATTGTGGGGGAGGGAATAAGGTGAAACTGAAATACTTCATTATCTTCAATTTATAAATATATTTATAACATTTATATTCTGTAACATAATATTTATATAATATCTGCTGGATCAGTGTAGGACAAAAGATGATCTGAGGACAGGCTTTGTGTGAACAGGGGAGAACTGTGTAAGTGGAATTAGAATAAAAAATTAAAGCAACTTCTGCTTGCTTTAAATCCACAGAATTGCTTCATTAAAGCATTTTCGTAATGCTTGAGGAATGGAGAAGTGTGAGGGGAATAATTTATACCAAGTATTATTTAAAACACAAGTTAGTACTTCTGGAACAAACAAGTCCCTTCAGCGTGAAGGGCAGACCAGAAGAAAGGCCCGGGTTGCTCCGAGGATTCCTGTTCAGCCCGCGCTGTCTCCAGCGCATCCGATCTCCCCGTAGCCCGGAGCGCTCCGTGCCTGCGGGAGGACTCGCTGTTGTGCTCGACTCCTGCCCGACAAGAGCGTTCATGTTTCCTACCTGCCGGGACCGGCTCCTCTTGGGAAGAGGCAGGGAACGCCGCGCGTTCCCGCCCGGCTCGCGCTCCATCCCGGCGCGTTCCCGCTCGGCGCCCGCCGCGGCAGCTCCTTCCTCCTGAGGGGCTTCGCGTCAAGATGACGCATCCTGGTCAGCCCTTGCTAAGATAACGAGCTGTGATTACGTGACAAGAGGCATGTGTGGGCTAGGAAGATAGCCTAGGCCCTCCTGCTCTTAGTGGAGGGCGGTTCAGAGAATATATTTGGGATAATGTGTTCATTTATAACCAGGAGCTGGCGGGCACGGAGCAGAATGTTGCTCTGTGCTGCACTGTGGAGCCTCTGTTCGGCCTGCAGAGCAATCTCCTCTTACCATTTTTTTTCTGAATAAACTTCTCTTTTTCTCCCCCCGCTCTGAACAAGCTCTTGGCAGTTGGAAGCAAACAAAGATGTGTCTGTTGGACTTACTACCAGGAAATCCAACATTCGCAGCGTTACGAAAAACAGCCTTTTGAAATGTGTGTAGCTAAACTGTCTCTTGCGCAGCATCTAACCGCGCGGTGTGTTGGAAACGCTCCCCTGGATTGACGGAATGAGGCAGGACAGCCCAAATGGCGTCCCCGGGGAGGGGGCGGCCGCGGGCCTGGAGGGAGCTGCGAGGCCTCTCCTGCCGGCGCCGCCGCTGCGGCGCTTGCGGAGCCGGGCACGTTGCTTTGGAAGGGCTCCCCGCTGCTGGAGCCCGGGGATTTGTTAAGTCTTGTAGTTCATTAAGCGGCGTCGCGGGTGCCGGGGCCGCGCGGTGCCTCGTTTTACAAGCGGCGGAGGTGCCGGTGCTGACGAGCGCAGCAGAATGACGATAATTGAGGTGATGAAGGGAGCAGGGGCCCCTTCCAGGCCCGTTTCATGCCCTGTTTGGGAGCGCCCTCCCACAAGGTCTCTTTGGAGGCGCCGGCGGCTGCGGGTGGCCTTGGTGGAAGCCGAGA